ACAGAAAAGCTACCTACTACCCATGAGGGCTCATCAACATGGCTGCCTAAAGAAGACCTGAACTTGGACAATACCAACAGACATGCAACATGGTGGGGGACTCTCCTGGGGCTCCAGCCCTAGACAAAGAACTATGGGCAACTAAGGATGGCTGAGAGTGGAAGAAACAGCCTTCCCCTGGAAGAACCCCCTCAAATGGTTATCTAATCCCAAGTGGTCAATCCTGAAAACATATACACACGCACATACATACATACATACATGCAACGCTGTATAGACTAAGCAGGCTATATATACATTTTGGAACATATGTCAACAATTAAAGAAAAAGAGGCTATGAATTTGAGAGAGAATATGATAGGGTTACATGGAAGGGATTGGAGGACGGAATGAAAAGCAGAAAAATTATGTAATTAAACTATATTTAATTTCAAAATAAAATATATTTTAAAATAATAGAATAAAAATAATATTTCCTTGAAGGAAAAGTAGACTAAAAGTAAAACAATAGGGGTTGAGAGATAGCTCAGGGTTAAAGAATTCTGGCTGCCTTTCCAGGGGACCTGGGTTCAATTCCCAGAATCCAAAGAACAGTTCATGACTATCTTTAACTCCAGTTCAAAAAATCCAATGCCCTCTTCACACCTTGGAGGGCACCAAGCACTCAGTACAGAGACAGACATGCAAACATTCATATATACACATAAAATAAAACTTTTAAAATAAAGATTGTGGATATATATGTTAATTCTAATTGTTTTTAAAAGCTAGAGTGGTTATATTAACATCAGAAAAATAGACTTAAGAGAGAAAGGAGAGGAGAGGAGGCAACCAGAAACAAAGGACATTTTGTAATGATCAATCCTTGGTAACGTCTTAAAAGACATAATACTTTCAAAATTTATAAAGCAAAATTTACAGAACATAAAAGCAAATTTATGGAGATCCCAATATCAACAGACAGAAATGAGAGAGCGATGAAGTGTCTGAATGTAGCACACATCAGTGTAACTGGCTATTCCCAGGGCCTCCAGCAGCAGGATGCACATCCACATGCAGCACGGATGGAGCACACTCCACAGGGAAGCGCACGCTCCACCGGGAAGCGCAGTTACACAGTGTCAAAAGAACTTCATCAGACAGTGCATCTTCTCATCCACAAATAAACTAAAATAATATCAGTTAAAACCACTGAAAATTCCTCACATACTTAGAAATTAACACTTTAAAACACAGATTAAAGGAAATTTTAAAACAAAATTAAAAGTAATCATGAGGGAACTAGAGAGATGCCTCAGTGGTTAGAAGCACTGGCTGCTTATTGGCTGTTCTTCCAGAGTCATGAGGAGTTCAGTTCCCAGCACCAAGGTGGCAGCTCACAGCCACCTCTAACTGTAGTACCTGATGGCTTCTTTTGGTATGCAGACTATATGCAGACAAAACACCCATATACATAAATGCATACATAAAAATCAGTCTTTTTAAAAAGTAATCTTGAACTGAATAAAAACAAAACATTAGAATTAATCAGATATGCAATGCCGTGACAAAGAAAATTAATTAACTGATTAATTAATAGCCCAATCAGAAAAGAAATATATTGTCAGAGAGTGGTAGCACATGACTTTAATTCCAGCACTTGGGAGGCAGTGGATCTCTGTTGAGTTCAGAGGTCAACCTGGTCTACAGAGGGAGTTCCAAGACAGTCATGGCTACACAGAGAAACCCTGTTTCAAAAAAAAAGAAAAGAGAGGAGGGAGGGAGGGAGGGAGGGAGGGAGGGAGGGAGGGGAACCATCTCAAGTCACTTAGCTTACAACATATATTTTTTAACTTGAGGAGGAAGGCAAACTACTCTAAATGGGGCTGGAGAGAGAAGGCTCAGTGGTTAAGAGAACTGGCTGTTCTTCCAGGGGACCAGGTTCAATTCCCAGCATCCACATGGCAGCTCATGACTGTCTGTAACTCCAGTTCCAGGGGATCTGACACCCTCACACAGACATATGTGCACATAAGCACCAGTGCACATAAAAGAAAGTTCCCCAAAATCACTGAAACCAGAAGGTTGGTTTTATTGAAAAAAAAAAAAACAATAAAAATAAACTTCCAGCCAAACTGTTCAAGAAGAAAGAGGGAGAGAGAGTACACAAATTATCAAAGAGAACAGGAAACCTCCCTAGCTTTTACAGAAATTAAAACAGAATTACTTTGAACAATTTTATAGGAGAAATGAACCTGCCTCAAACAAGAAAAACGTGCCAGAAAAAAAGTGTGTCCTCTAACCTGGGCACTGTGGCATATGCACGCCTAAACTCACCACACACAAACATGCACACAGTACTATGTACATGCTAGTCCCAAGTGCTAAGGAGACTCACATCATGACCATGAAATAAATCATAAAATAGGAAAAAAGCATCCACAACATGTCTGGAGATAGGGGAAAATATAAAAACACAATTTCCTGTGGAAACTGATGTGGTTTTTATATAATTCAAATAAAAAATAATTCAAAACAACTTCTGAGACTGTTCTTTCCCTGATTCAGATCTTTGGCGGATACATTTTTGAATTCTCAATTTCATTATCTGTATAGATAGTCTTAGAACTTCTAGAACCTCACAGAAATCCAAATTTACTTCCTTATGTAAGCCACACACACTCCGGGTCATCTCTAGATCCCTTACAATATCTAATATGATGTAAATCATAAGGCTCCGGTTAGGAACAATGACAAGAAAAGATCTGCACATGCTCAATGCAGACACCAAGGGTATTTTCCAGGTCTTTGTGATGCACAGTTCATTGACCGCAGTTCCACGAGTGCAGCTGTTGGCCCTGAGTCCACCTTACTGCACTCAGCGGTCACTCACCGAGCAGTATGAAAAGTGCCATGGTTTGAACAGGTAACATTTCCATAGCTTATAATTTAGATGGTTGGTCTCTAGGGGTGCTGCTGCTTTAGAAAATTCTGGAAACAGGAAATAGGGAACAGCTAGAAGTTTCTGGGTAAGTTTTTGCGGGTGTATTATCTGCTTCACTACTCCTCTATATGCTCAAACCACCACGATAGTCTTCCCAAGGTCAAGGGGACAGTGACATGGACTTCATGCTCTCAAACTATGAGCTAACACAAATATTTTCTCTGTGAGTTGTCTGTCATGTGTTGTGACCACAGAAATGCAAGAACTACTGCAATAATATTAATAGAAATTATAAATTGTTTTTTTTCAGGTGAAAATACTTAGTTTCTATTCTTTTTTTTTAATTTTTTTTATTGAGAAAAGAAGAAAAAAAACATAAACAAAAAAACAAGTTTCCACCTCCTCCCAGCCTCCCATTTCCCTCCCCCTCCTCCCACCCTTCTCTCCCTCCTCCCACCCTTCTCCCCCTCCCCCCACTCCTCTCCACCTCCCTCTCCAGTTCACAGAGCAGTCCGGGTTCCCTGCCTGTGGTAAGTCCTAGGTCCTCCCCCCTCCGTCCATATCTAGGAAGGTGAACATCCAAACTGGCTAGGCTCCCACAAAGCCAGTACATTAAGTAGGATCAAAACCCCATGCCATTGTCCTTGGTGTCTCATCAGCCCTCATTGTTCGCCATGTTCACAGGAGCACTGGACTGAGCTCCCAAGGTCCCAATGAGGAGCAGAAGGAGGGAGAACATGAGCAAAGAAGTCGGGACCACGAGGCGTGCATCCACCCACTGAGACAGTGGAGCTGATCTACGGGGAGCTCACCAAGGCCAGCTGGACTGTGACCGAAAAAGCATGGGATAAAACCGGACTCTCTGAATATAAATTGTTTTAATACAGTAAGAATGTATAGGAACTGACTAGCCTAAAACAAAAACAATAAATATATAGTACAATTCATTTTAGAGCGCAAAAACAAACTGACAAGTGGAGTCTGAGCTTCACAAGCTGTGTATAGCAGTGTCCTACAAATTAGACAACTTAACTAACAGTAGGAAAACAGGATAGTTATTTGACCTGCTCAGAAAAGTAAGGCTTAGGGCCAGAGAGATGGCTCAGCAGGTAAGGGCACTTGTCACACAGCCTAGTGACCTGAGTTCAGTCTCCAGACTGACTCCCAAAAGGTGTTCTCTGGTTTCCACAAGCACAATATGGCATACATGCCCCCCACATTTATGCATTTGCACATGAAGGGAGGGAAGAAGAAAGGAGTGATGGGGGAAAGGAAGACAGGAGAGAGGGAGGTGCGTTTTAATATTAAAAAAAAAGATCCTATCTAACTTCCTGTAGATACTATAGTTAATGAAATAATGCAATTTATTATGGTATGATTATGTTAAATAACCAGAAAACAGAACTATTTAAGAAATAAATATTATCTAATAAGTTGTACATTTTCCATTTCATAACATAGTATCTACAAAAGCAAAACCATACACAGGAACACATGAGCTACAGTACTGCCCTCAGAGTAAGCCTTGATTATCATCAGTGTTAACAAGACATCATCTATTTTCTCAGCGAGGTATTACTTAGCCATTGACACCACAGAACATTAACATCAAGATAATTTTACAGAGAAAACGGACATAACAGAGTTAATCTGCTTCAAGGCTGTATAGCCAATCTAATCAGTAAGGTCTGTCTGACTTAAACTCAGGATATTTAAACTTTCCTGTAAAGGGCCAGGAAGCATCTATTTTAGGGTTATGGGCCATGTACCTACAACAAATTAACGGGTAGGCTGTGTACCAATAAAATGTCAACAATGTGCACTGAGTCTCTGAGTTTCTTATTACTTCACATGTCAAAATGTACTATACTTTAAACTATTTTAAAATGTAAGCCACTCCTAGTTCATTAGACATGCTGGAAGTGAGCCAGGCTTAGCCTTTAACTGAGAGCATTAGTGAGATATGCACAACATGCCACTACACAACACGCATATTTAATCAGTCCCAATAACCGTACTGCACATTATCTGCACACCACACATCTACCAATATCCACACATATCAAGGCTGCAGTACCTTTTCTCTCCTACCACTTTTAGCTTGCTCATCTTGAGTTACTTCGTTCCAGCATTGCAGATAACCTGAAAGAAAAATGTTAATACTATCAGGCGCCTAACACAATTCTGTTTCCTGAGCATTAGGGTTATAAAGGCCATATAACTGGAAGATTGGAACACTGGCACACAAGGAAGTCAGCCTATGGAGGCCATCACTGCAACTGCCATACAGAACTACTAAGATTCCTAAAAGCAGCAAGGAAAACGTCATCAAAAGTCTAGAGCTACAGAAACGCAGAAAGCAAACATAACATATATGTGGTAGTGTGAATCAAAGTGTCCCCCACAGGCTCACACATGCTGAACACTTGGCCCCCAGTTGTAGCGCTGCTTGAGGAGGCTGTGGATCCTTTAGGAGGTGCAGCCTTGCTGCAGGGATTATATAGGGGAGGGGGATTGCTATTACCTTGTCCTACTTCCTGTTCCTTGGTCCCTCTACCTTTCCTCCTCTTCAAACTGCCCCCACCCCAGGCCTTCATGCCATGCCTTTGCCACCATGGTTAAAGACTCTGGTCCTCTGGAACCCTCCGGAACTGTAAGCCAACACAAACTTCCGGATTCATGAAGCTGTTTTTGATCGCGGCAATTTATTGCTTCAGCTGAAAAGTAGCTCATACAGTCATGCATTTCTACTTCTGAGACAGTGTGCACCCATCTTCAATACTCAGGCCAGTCACAGCATCCCATGATCAGTGCAGTCACCAAATTGTTAATATGCAACGATTCTATACGGAAACATTTCTAATAACGAGTTGTTTAAACTTCCCTGACACCACCACCTTAACCATGTTCTCATCTTTAGTCCGCACTATGTAATTTAAACAACCTTCCATCTTGACTTGCAGTTTTTATAATTTTCAGATGTACTTTAAAACAAGTCACAAAAAATATCCTAGATATCTTTTAATTTTTTATATATCAATGCTTAATGAGACACAATTTTTGTTGATTCACTAGAAAACAACGGCTATGAATCTGAGAAGTTAATCACATCTATACATATTTAATAATGCTATACTTTGAAGAAAATGTGCAAAAAGAAAGATTTTAAGGTTTCATTCAAAAGATACAAATACAAGTCTTTTCAATAAAATATAAAATGCTTCGTTTGTTAAATACATCAAAAAATATATGTATTTAAGATTTTAAAAACATGTGGACCATTTTTGAAGTCACTGAGAAACTAAAATTGCATTTTTTTTTCTTTTAGTTATTTCTCTAGGTAGTTAGCTACATGAAGCCAAAGTAACTTTCTCCAGTTTCCAGGATAAATAAGACAGGACACACCCAAAGGCGGCAGAAAGCCTCATAAGAGCTTTTAAAGCCCTGTTGCTGCCTGCATAAGCAGGGGCTGTCCTTTCCATTTTAGAGCAGGACCTGGACATACAATCCTCGGTCCCAGCAATAAGAGATGGAAGCAGGGAGACTGGGGTTCAAAACCACTGTGACGTAAAGGGGATACCAGACCCAGCCTCAAAGAGAAACCACCCAGGGCTGGAGGGCGTGATTGCAGAAACTGGCCTAGAGTGCACAAGGCAGGTTAGCCAAGTGAGCCTGCAATCCCAGCACTCTCTAAACAAGTAAGCTTTGTGTTTTCAGTTTTCCTGAGATGAAGTTCCCACTAAGCTGGCCTGGACCTCCAACCTTCTGGCTCACCCAAAAGCTGGGATTCAAGTGTGCGTCTCACACCTCACTCTTACTGTGAACCTGGGTTTGGCGGTCTTCATAAAGCGGGGCAGGAAGACTGTGAGACAACCGTGGATGCTATCTCTCAAAGAAACTGTCTTTATTTTCTGGACACAACAGGGCAGTTGTGCAGGTGAACTCGAAACCACTGTGACAGTATGCACAAGACTACACGAGCTCCAGTCAGAAAATACTGCAGCACAGACGGGGAAGCAGTCAGAAAGTCCACCACTAGCCATGACCATCCAATGGCAGTTGATGGCCACTGGAAGAGGGAGAGTAGCCTGTCTTTAATGCTGTGACTCTCATAGGTCAATCACACACCTGGGTAGCTGATCAACCAAACTGAACTCAGTGGGGATGGGGTGGGGCGGGGCAGGGGGGAGTAATGAAGAAATTTCAAATTTTCAAAATTGGACTGGGAGAACGGAGAGGGTGGTTACAGGAAGAGCTGGGAGAGGCTATGTTCAAAATATGTAGTATGAAATTCTCAAAAAATAAATATTATTCAGGCCAGGCCATGCTGCCACGCGCCTTTAATCCCAGCATTAGGGAGGCAGAAGCAGATGGACCTCTGTGAGTTCAAGGCCAGCCTGGTCTACAAACTGAGTTCTAGGACAGCCAAGGCTACACAGTGAAACCCTGTTTTGTTAAAAAAAGAAAGAAAGAAAGAAAGAAAGAGAAAAAAGGAAAGAAAGAAAGAAAGAAAGAAAAAGAAAAAAAAGAAAAGAAATTGTAAAAGTATTACTCAAAAAATATTCTAGTTGCCATGCGATGGTGGTGCACGCCTTTAATCCCAGCACTCGGGAGGCAGAGGCAGGCGGATCTCTGTGAGTTCGAGACCAGCCTGGTCTACAGAGCTAGTTCCAGGACAGGCTCCAAAGCCACAGAGAAACCCCGTCTCGAAAAACAAAAAAATAAAATAAAATAAAATAAAAAATATTCAAGTTGACAGTTTACATTAAAATATTTCAGGCATGTCTCTACTCTCCTTATTGGGCTTTAAACAAAGTCGTGTTTACTCCCACAATGACCAAAAAAAAAAAAAAAAAAAAACCCACGAGGAGAAAGACTGGGTAATCTGCTCAGAAGAGCCCCAGGGAACTGGGGACCAGTGACCCCACAATATCAATGCCAACCAAAACTAACTGCACACAACTGCCTGTCTGTCAGAACGTCATGCCCACCACTGTGGAAAATGCTTAATTGACCAGGCATCCAACCCAGGCAAACTTCACCGAAGACACTGATACCTCAACCAGTTCTGCTTTTAGGGACTTAAAAGTCCCAGGCAAAAAGACCGAATCTCACCCTATGCTCCTATGTATTTCTTACACTGATTTTCTTTAATTTTATTTTTATTTTACATCCCAATCATAGGCAGTTTCCCCTCCTTCTTCTCCTCCCAGAGCCTCTCCCCCCCCCCCACCTTCCCTCTGCCACACACACCCCATCTACTCCTCCTCCATTTCTATTCAGAAAATGGCAGGCCCCCCACGGTTAGAGACGAAACAGGGCTTTATAGCAAAGCTATGCATCTTCCTCTACTGATGCTAACCCTGAGGCCACAGGACTTGAGGGTAAGTAAAGGGAAGGCCTTATCCCAAGTCTGTCCTCCTTACAGGGGTGCTACAAAGAGATGCACGGTCCACAGCACAGCAGACACACCCAGAGCTGTGTCATCAGAGCAAGAGAGCATGGAACCCAGAATATACACTAAGCACCAACTCTAGGGACAGGACTGAGGTGTGCCCTACCTGCCCCTTTCTCTTCACCCCCATAAGATCCTGACATTTCTGTCTCAGGAAAACAACTTCCATGCTATTGTCTGCACTCCCACTCCTGCCCAAGTCCTCTGCCCCAAAGCACTGCCATTTAGACACTCAGCAAGCCCTCTCCTTGCTCTCCAACACACTCCATCCACGCTTCCTCTTCCACACTCTCCAACACACTCCGTCCACGCTTCCTCTTCCACTCTCTCCAAAACAGGTTTCTCAGCAACTCCATGTGACTAAACACACCAACTTATTACCAGTCATCTCACAGCCTCCTCGCACAGGACAAGGCCCTCCCAGGAGCACTGCCACACTCTGGTTTTCTGCCTAGCCTGTGTTGGAAGCACAGGACTTGTGTGTTGCCGCCCTCTTCCAACCTTAGACTTAGTCATTTCACCTAGCTTCAGAACCAAACATCGCCCCTGACATTAAGATGACAGCCTCCCTTCTCCCCTGTGCCAGCTGTGAACTACCCTACTCTTGTCCAATTGCTCTGCCCTCAAACTTGGCTTCACCCTCTCTTCCTTTCCATGTCCTTTTCCCCATGTACAATTCATAGAAACCTGAGGTAATTCTACAGAGGGCATGTGAGATGTCGCAGTAGATACAGGCACCTGCCACCAAGCCTGAAACTTGAGCCTACTCTCCAGGGTTCACATGATAGAGAGATTTGACTTCAGTTGTCTTCTGACCTGTGTATATTGTAGGAAACACGTTAGCAGATATAAATAAATAGATGTTTAAAGCACACACACACCCAAAATCTGATCATCCCATGCCCTAATCACTACTTTCTAAATTCCAGAACCTACAGTTTATTCCAAACATGACACCCTCAGCGGCACTGTTAACTCTGGAGGGGAACTGGCAACCACAGGCAGAAATCCAGCCTACAGTATTTTCCATTTCAATGACACCCAAATCCCTAAGGGAATACCCCAGCTATTTCCTCCCTGGTTATCCTCCCACACACCAGGGTCAGTCTCACCCTTGTTCAAACTGCTCTTCCAGCACACAGCTCATGACTGCTCAAATCCATTTTCCCAGTACAGCCCATCTCCCCCAACCTCCTCTACACCCTAGCGCATGTCTGTCTCTACAACACTTACTGTCTTCTAATGCAGAATAATTCTAAAGTAAATGAAGACGAAGTCATGCGTGCTGGTTGACACTTGTAATACCAGCACTGGGAAGCTGATGTAGAAGGAATGCTGAGCTCAAGACAAATCTGAGCTACATAGTAAGGTCCAACTTACACACCCCACCCCAACACACACACAGCAAACATGGTTACATGTTGTTATGGTCTGAATGGTGGTAAAACCACCAAGTTGACAGCAAGAGGAAACAGTCTTCTGCAACAAAATGAGGTCATGGGGGTAAAGTCCCTCAAGTATGGTACTTAGTATCCTTGCTAAAGTGTGCGTGTGAGTGTGTGTGTGTGTGTGTGTGTGTGTGTATTTAAAAAAATAAACTGGCTTGTTCATTCACCATCTACAGAAACTTCCAATGCCTTGTGAACTTCCAGCTTCCAAACCATGAGCAAAACTATATGCTGGTTAA